ATTAAAAATAGAAAAAAAAAATCTACTTGAATTACTTAAAAAGTATAAATGAAATATATCCTCCTAAGTTAATTAAACCCCCTAAATCTCGAATTTTTGAAAAACAGAAAAAGTATAAAAATAATTCATGCGTAATCTTTTATCATATTTAGATAATCTAAACAATATTTGGCAACTATGAAGGAATTCATACAATATATTTAAAGTAGAAGAAAATAACAATTGCTTTATTGATATAATTGAAGAAAAGATTTTAAACTTATGATGTCGAAGAAGAAGAAATAACAAATGTGAATATTAAGGAAACAAGCAAGATAGCATTCCTTATTTTATCAACTAGAGACTAATGAAATGCTAGCAATAATAAACTAAAGACTATAACATTCGTTATTTGATCAATAGGACAATAATAAAATATTTGTTACAATGGACTGGACGTCATAAATAAGTATATTATTGAACAAAAAGATCATCAACTTGACAATCAAATCAAAATTGTGGTTTTGAAATCGTTATTTGATTTCATATGGTTTAGGTTTTGACAACTTCAAACCTAACCAAACCATTTGAAAATGATCCAATTTAATTTTTAAAATTCATTTGAAATCACACAACCATTCACCCATTTTTTTGGAAAAATAAAAAAATACTTGTTTTTATTGGATCCATTGATTATTCAATAAATATATTTACTATCGGCTTCTATTGGCTTTTTAAGATAAAAATGATGTATTTATAATAAGATTTTTCTTATCTAATGAATGAAATCCCAAACTTAAATTTTATGGTCGAATCTTGTATTAATTTATTTGTTTAAGATTGTATTAATTCAAATATATTAGTACTGTAATGTTTTATGTTTAGAATGTTTCATATTATAAATGTTATTTGCGACTTTCAAACTAATATATTATTTTGAAATGTATTGTTTTTATGTTGCTACAATCGTGGTTTAAAACCAAAGACCGCAAGAAATGATTTTGTTTGGTTTGATTTGAAAATTTTCAGACTGTTCAAAATAATTTGATTTGAAAATAGTTTAATGACTGTCCAAATCCAACCTAGTTCACCCTAAAACAATATATCATGATGCAGCAGTATATAACATAATATTAAATTATTATTTGTCCAATTTTAGTGCTGCCATCTGCCTCAGTTTCCTTAGCATCATTTAACTAAAATTTCATTTAAAAAATAAAAATAAAAGGTTGAACCCCAACTTTGAGGGTTCTCACGGCCCAACTCCTAAAGCTTTGAAAGGGAGGTAAATTACGGGATGTGTCTCAGTAGACCAAAGAACAAGAGCTACATGTACATTGCGCCTACAAAAAGTCCAATTCCATATCTCAGGAATCGAACCCCCAACTAAAATTTCATATGTTTAGGGAAGATAGAGATAAGGAGATTTGTGTTAAGGATTACAATGAATTTGTTCTAGTATGAGATTGGCGTTACACTGTATTAAAATAAGAATAATGACAGGTGTACATTGTGTGGTTGACATCATTGTGTACATTTCATTCGAGTTTAGAAAGTTGTGGAGGAAAAGTGTGTTTTTTTGTTAAAAAAATAAAATGTCCAATAATTTGTTGCCATGTAGCATAATGTAAACAAAGAAGTCAAAGATGATGTACACGTTAAAAAAAATATATATATATTTAAAAATCAAAAAACATTACAATATTTTATTTACAAATAATTTTTCATACTTATGTGTAAACTTACTCATAAATTAGTTTCACTTATATTTAAGTGAATTTTTTTTGTTAAAAGAAATTTTTTACTTATTATTGTATTTTCCTTTAAAAGTGATTTTTTTAGTTATAAGATATTTTTAGACTTGTTTAAATTTTTTATTTTACTTAAAAAGTTAATTTATGACTTATAAATGTTTTTAAACTCATAAGTAAATTTTTCTACTTGTACGCAAACAATTTTTCTTGTAATTATTTTTTCACTTATAATTTTTCACTGAAAAATGAATTTATAATTTATATTTTTTTTCTTAAGTAACTTTTAGCGTTATTTATTTTTTTAGTTATAATTAAAAAATTTATTTCTTATATAGTCGTTAGTAAATTATTTATTTCAATTCAACTAAATTCTTAATTCGTGAAATGTTGAAAAAAATACGAAAATAAATCCACCTCATACTCATATATTGTACCGATTTTATAGAGTTGACTAAAGAAGGATAAGTTCTCTGGATTAATTTAGTCCGGATTTTAATTGTATTAGATGCCATGAAAGGATTACGTACGGTTAATTCGATATAATACAATGCGCCCAACGTGTTAAAGAAAATAACCCTAATTCTATCTTCTTAGGCTATGTGAGCCCTTTTTTTTCTTTTTGTCTTTTTTCTTTTTTTGTGAAAATAGAGTTTTGTAATAATGAATTTTTTTGTAAAATGTGTATTAAAATGTAAGAAATTTTTTTGAATTTATAATATGGTTGAGGAAAATGAGCTTTTAGATAATACGACTCAAACATGACCAATCACATCCCTTTTTATTCAATTGAACGTGCATTGCACGTTATTTTGAAATATTTTATAAATGTCATAACAGTAAAATGTGATACTGATTTGTTGGAGGATTTAATGAATCTCAAACGAACTAAAGAAAATAAAATTTAGGATAAAATTTTAAGATAAAAAAATTCAGACTCTCAAAACTCAACTTATGTGATTCAATTTTTTTTGTGATGATGAAATATTATAAACGAGCAATATTTTTATAAAACATTTGGTATATAAGAACTAATTGCTAATACATGAATTTAAATGTCCGTCGAAATTTCTAGCTATGAGAAATAGAAATAAATTCATATCTAATAACACGAAATTCATATATGACAAGAATTTTATAGTATTTATTATATATTGAAAAATGAAAAGTAATGTATTATTGAAATAATTGAATTGCAGTATGGTTAAAATCGTCTAAAAAATTATTCTTACTTGACGTTATATTTAATATTATAGATATAGATATGCAAAAAAAATTTAACAAATAAAAAGTTCATATACATGTAACCATCCAACTTTACATAAGCAGTAACAAAAAGAGTAGTCTTTTCTCTTTTCATTTTACATATGTAGTTGTTAATTAGAAAATTTCCCAATCAATCAACAAGAAGAAAAGGATAAAAACCAAGAGTAAATTAGTAAGGATAGGATTAAGTGTTATATATTAAGGATATTGTTCTAATACAATATTTGGTGTTATACATATGACTCTATTTTCTTACTAATAAGAATTTCTTTAAGTGATTTTTACTCCTAATTCACCGTTATGTAATTTTTTACTTATAATTACTTTTAAGTGTAAGTGAACTTTATTGATATAAGAAATATTTTTTATTTCAGAAATTTTTTACATAAAATTAATTTTTTTCTTGTAAGTGATTTTTATTTTATTTTATTTTATTTTAAAGGAAGTAAACATAACATATCTGCCTTCAATGGCAGTTTAGGTAGAAGTCATATTCCTTGTTTGACTACTTTGTGCCCAAGTGACCATTTAATGTCTTATTTCCTTTTATTAACTAAACTATAGAAACAACGTAGATTTGTGATAATCATAGGATCCAGAATCACGCAAGGGTAAATTGTATATTTAGCCCACAACCTTTCATGACAGTTTCAATACTGTCCCTAATCAATTTTCATTGTAATTTTTATCTTCAACCTTCGAAAATTTGTAAATTCAGCCCTGCTTCATGGTTTCAGTGCATTTCAACCGTCACGTCTAGCCAAGTGAGATGCACGGATGGAATTTGAAATGTTGATTATGTAACTAAAATAAAATAGTAACTTTAGTGACTAAATTTAAACAAAATAAAGATTAAAAATTTTCATTCAAAATATCTTGAAATGAAACTCAAATCACCCTGATATCATTTATGATATAGGTTGGTAGAAGAGGTCACCCTCGACGTTCAAGCAAGATGGATCACTACACTTCGACGCAAGGCCGTCGACCCCCCCCCCCTAGGGAGCGCTCTACAATTACCCCCGGGGAGTGCTCTACCACTACGCAAAGCCGTCAACCCCCACTAGAGGCGCTCTACCAATACCCTCGGGGAGCGCTCTACCATTACCCCCTGGGAGCGCTCTACCACTACGCAAAGTCGTCGACCCCCCATAAGCGCTCTACCAATAGCCCCGGGGCACTCTACCACTACTCGAGGTCTTCAACGGGCATAGAATAGCCAACCCAAACACTTAGCCATAAAACCTCTAGTAAATTTACTAGGTTCCATGGCAATTAATACGGGTACAACCTCCAGGCGAGAAGATAAAGACCCCCCACTCAGAACGTGGGGGTAGTGGGAATGCCAACGTGGGACACGTGACACCACAACCGCCCATCGGTTATCCAGCTCCCAATATCTATAAATACCCGAATGTGACACAGGTAAGGCTCTCTCTCACTCTTTTTAGCCATCTGATTTCCAATTGCAAGTCTAAAAACTAATTCTCACGCCGGAGATAAAACGGGGGAGGAAGCCCCGCCTTCATTTTTCAGGTCACAAACACTTGGCGGAGCAGTGGAATATCGAACGCCACAAGGCAGATAGAAAGGTATTGTTCCACAACCATTTCATTGGCGCCGTCTGTGGGAAATCATTTGAACTAAAAAGCTATGTCAAGAAGACGAACAAGGAGTGATACTTGTTTGGTTGGAAATACGGTGGAGACGGAGTCGGAGTCAGTTACAAGGGGTCACGAGCCACCGCCGCCTCCGCAGTATGTGACGCAGAGTCAGTTCAGCGCTTTGGAGACTCAAATGGCAACAATGATGGCGCTCTTGCAAAACCAGTCGCAAAGAGACACGGTCCCTCCATTGAGTCCGACGGAAGCGACGAACCAACAACCGCCTCAAGCGCCGCCCGCAGTTGTTCCACCCATCCCTATGCAAGGGACGGGAGGCGCAGGGGCCCTAGTGGTCGTAGCTCAGGAGCCCCCGCAAGCCATGGTGGACCTGGAATAAAAGATGGAAGAAATCATGGCCCAGAAGATAGATGATGCACTATCCAAGAGAAAGGATAGACAGACGCAGATGGTGTTGGAGGAAGACCTGTTCGCCCCTAAGATCATAGCGGTCCCATTGCCTAAAGGCTTCAAGCAACCCATGATCGAAGCATATGACGGAGTCACAAATCCGCTTGACCACCTGCGGACCTTTGTAGACTTGATGAGACTTTATGCCGCCCCGGACACTGTGATGTGCCGATCCTTCCCCTCCACACTCAAGGGGAAGGCCAGGGACTGGATAGCAACCTTGGCCCCACGGTCTATCAAGACGTTTGATGAGCTCTCCAGGAGTTTTGTGGCTTACTTCCTAAGCAGCAAGAGGAAGAGGAAGACAACCATTGGGTTGATGCAGGTCGTACAGGAGAAAGACAAGTCATTGCAGGAATACTTGGCTAGGTTTAGTCGGGCTACTCTCGGCATAAAAGACCTGCAAATGTCCGCAATGGTTACTGCCTTGATGAACAGAACGCGAAATCGAGCCTTTAAAATGTCACTCTCCAAAAACTACCTAGAGTCAATGCATGATCTATTGAAGAAGGGAGATAAGTATGTCGATGCGGAGGAAGTGGAGAAAGTGACCAAAAATCTCAGGGATGGATGGGAGACGGAAGCACATAAGCGAAAAGCGTATGATGAGCGAAGGCACAATGATAAGAATAAGCCAAAAAATGAACGCATGAATAAGGGTTATGCCCAAGACCGGTCGGTCAAGCAGAATCAAGAGGAGGCCAAGGCACCCATCCCTTTGAACATCCCACATACGAAGTTATTAGTGGAGATACAGCACATGAAAGAGCTCGAATGGCCTAAACCGATGATGACTTCCTCCAGCAAGAGAAATCAAAGTAAGTACTGGCATTTTCACAAAGATCACGGACACGATACAGAAGAATGTCTACAATTGAAGGAAGAAATAGAGCACCTGCTAAGGCGGGGACTATTGGCCAAGTATGTAAAAAACGATAAGGGCCGACAAAGGCTCGAAGGAATACCCCAGCAGGAGTGATAAACATGATCATTGGGGGAGTAGCATCAGGTGGCGACTCGAATTCAGCTAGGAAGAGCTATGCGTGTTCCGCAGGTGTCTGCTCTATCCAAAAAAAAAAACAAGATTCAACCAGAGCATTACTTTCGACGAAGAGGACTTGATCGGTATAATGCATCCCCACGATGATGCCTTAGTGATAGTGGGCGATATAGCAGATTTTGACGTAAAGAGGGTGCTTGTCGATGGAGGAAGTGCAGCAAATGTCCTCACCTGGGATGCCTTCTTGGGTTTAAAAATTCCCCCAGAGAAGCTGAAGATGGTGACTACCCCTCTACAAGGCTTTGGAGGGGCAACAATGATACTGGAGGTAACTGTAGAGCTCCCAGTTACGCTAGGCACATACCCAGCGACAGTGGTGATTGTGACTAATTTCTTAGTTGTCAAGACCTCCATGGCCTACAACGCCATCTACGGTCAGCCATTGCTAAACGCAGCTGGCGCTGTGCCTTCGACCTACCATCAAATTATGAAGTTCCCAACTAGCAGAGGAGTCGAGAGCGTGCGAAGGGACCAGCATGCATCAAGAAAATGCTATGTGGATAGTATACAGGCCAAAGGCTCACACCAATCATGATGCTGGATGTGGAACTCCCAAGGGGGCGGATCGAGCTGCTCGATATGATTGAAAAAATCTTTATAGCCGAGGGATGAGAGTTTAGTGTCGGAACAGGTTTGGAATCCGAAGAGAAGGAAAAATTGTCCAAGTGTCTAGCCGGTAACTTGGACGTGTTCGCTTGGGGCCCGGAGGACATCCCAGGGATTAGCCCAGTCATCATGCAGCACCGCCTTAGTGTCCTACTGGGGGCTAAGCCAGTGAAGCAGAAAAAAAATCTTACCCCAGAGAGGCAGGTCACAGCCAGAGCAGAAGTAGAAAAATTGTTACAGGCGGGTTTCATTCGAAAGGTGCAATACCCTGAGTGGTTGGCAAACATCGTACTTGTGAGGAAGTCAAACAGAAAATGGTGCATGTGTGTAGATTATACTGGGTTGAACAAGGTATGTCCAAAAGACTCATACTCGCTCCCCAAGATAGATCACCTGGTAGACGCTACATCGGGTCATGAAAGGCTTAGCTTTCTGGATGCATTTTCCGGATATCATCATATTTCAATGGCCAAGTCTGACCAAGAGAAGACGTCATTTATCACAAACTTTGGCACGTACTGTTACACGGCCATGCCTTTCGTTTTGAAAAATGTCGGGGCGACTTATCAGAGGATGGTGAACAAAATCTTTCATGGTTTGATCGGAGATGTTGTAGAGGCTTATGTTGACGATATGGTGGTCAAGAGCGCCAAGGCTGATGACCATGTGGCCTGTTTGCAAAGAGTGTTTGACGTTGTCCGACAAAATAAATTGAGGTTCAATCCAGAAAAGTGTGTTTTTGGTACTGCCGGAGGAAAATTCCTAGGCTTCATGATCACGCAAAGGGGTATTGAAGTGAATCCGGACAAAATTCAGGCAATCCTAGAAATGAAAAGCCCTACCAGTAGGAAGGAGGTCCAGAGGCTAACAGGGCAGGTAGCCGCTTTAAATAGTTTCATGAGCCGGGCGGTGGACAAATGCTACCACTTTTTTCAAGGCTATAGGGGGTTCCTCCAACTTCGAGTGCACCCAGGAATGTGAAGAGTCACTTAAGAGCTTGAAGCAGTCATTACAGGAGCCCCCAATCTTGACTAGCCCATGCCTCGGGGACGTGTTGTGTCTCTACTTGGCAGTCTCACCAAGGGCAGTCAGCGCGGTGCTAGTGAAAGAGTTCGCAAAGGCACAAAAATCGATCTATTATGTGAGCCAAGTATTGAGGGGCGCAGAGGTAGGATACAACCTGGCAGAGCAGCTAGTGTTTGCATTAATTGTCGCGGTTAGGAAGCTGAGGCCTTACTTTCAATTTCACACGATGCAAGTAATGACTGACCAACCTATCAAGCAGATCCTACATCGACCAGAGACCTCTGGGAGGATGTTGAAATGGGCAATCGAGTTAAGTGAGTTCGATATTGAATTCAGGCCAAGGACGGCTATTAAGGCACAGGCTCTTGCAGACTTCATCGCTGAGCTCACCATTCCGCCCGAACACCCGCCGGGGAAACAAGTAGATTGGAAAATTTATGTGGATGGATCTTCAAACGATGAGGAATTCGGGGCGGGGATCATAATGGTAGGTCCGAATGGTGAAGAGTTGGAATACTCGCTGCGTTTTGAATTCCCAGCTACAAATAATGATGCCAAGTATGAGGCAGTAATCACAGGATTAGGACTGGCAACCAGACTTGAGGTAGCTTCAGTAGAAATTTGCAGTGACTCTCAATTGATAATCGAGCAAGTGACGGGGGAATTCGAAGTTAAAGACGGAAAGATGGCGGCATATTTAATGGAGGTCAAAAACTTGCAGAAGGGATTCACCAGGTTCAAAATAACAAAGGTCCCCCGAAAAGACAATGAATGGGCGGACGCACTGGCTAAGCTCGCATCCACAAACCCCAGACATTTGCCTCGTACAGCGAGCGTGCAAATCTTGCAGCGACCTAGCATCCAACGCGTGGTCGATGTTGTGAATGTAGAGCAAGGGGAGAGTTGGATGGACCCTTTGGTTGAATATCTCACAAAGAACAAGTTACCGAAAGATGCATTCGCAGCAAGAAAGCTAAAAGTCCGAGCAGCCTCGTTTGCCGTCATCGTTGGACAACTTTACAAGCGAGGTTTCACAATGCCATATTTGAAATGTTTGCGACCGACAGAAGCGCATGAGGTGCTAGTCGAGATACATGCAGGAATTTGTGGCAACCACCAAGGAGCGACCACCATTGCGTTCAAGACGCTTCGACAAGGATATTATTGGCCTAGTATGAAGGAAGACGCTAAGGAGTTGGTGAGGAAGTACGATGCATGTCAACACCATGAAAATTTGATCTATGTTCCAGCCCAACAACAGACAACAATTTTTGGGGTGTATCCCTTTTTCCAATGGGGGATGGACATCTTGGGGCCTTTGCCCCTAGCTAAAGGACAAAGGAAGTTCTTGCTAGTCGCCATAGACTACTTTACTAAGTGGGTGGAGTTTGAGCCCTTAGCCACCATATAACTACAAAAGTACAAGAATTCGTTTGAAAAAATATCGTATGCAGGTTTGGCATACCTGCCAAGTACCGATGGCGGCAGGCCAAGAGGTGAAGGTCAAATGATAATCATACCCTTCTGTCCTTCCCAAAAGAAACAATGTTCACGGAGAAAACAATTCACGCTCAGCCCAAACTACTATTTTTGATGGGCTGGACCGAGCCCAGTGCAAACCTAAACTGGGCTTGGGTCAACTAACCCACCCATTTTGACACTGGTCACCAAGACATTTTTACGGGAGAATTGCAGCTGGAGTCCCAAACTTTTCAAATCGTCGTAGAAATTCAAACCTTTTAGTTTGCACTTGGGTTGCAAACCTTTAATAACCATGACAGATGGGGAAATGTCGATGGAATCTATCCATTATCCGTTATTCAACCAAAATATTCAATTTTTGACTCATTTTGATCGTTTAAGTGAGGGCAAAATGAAAAATGGTCAAATTACCATTTCAAAACAAAAACCTTTCATCTTCTTCCCAACCCCACCCCCCCCCCCCCCCCCCCCCCCCCCTCTCTCGATAGGTTGAGGCAAAGAGAGCTTTATCACGTCACCTAATCCACCAAAATTCGCCATCTCCAACCGTCGCCACCACTATAGCAAACAATCAACATTGTTGTCCCACCCCAACCGCAATCCGCTCCGCGGTGCTTATTTTTTCTCAATTGATTCTTGATTTTGCAGGCAAATGGATTTTTCAAGCAAGAAAGTTCGGTTCTAACCATAGCTCCCATTTTGCTCTCTGCTTTAATTTTCTGTGCATAAATCTTCCAAAGCACACAAGCACCCCCACCTCCCCCCCCCCCC